AATTTATGCATTGTTTCCCCAAAGAGCTGGTCAAAATCACCTCACTACAAATGGGTGAGGGCTGAGTGAAGCTTGTATCCTGCTTGAATGCGTCCAGTCTTCCTCTCAATACACCTACCAAGCAACGAGGGTTATGATGACTACTCGCAGGTAACTTAGACTTGGATGACGGACCTGGCGAGGAACCGCGAGGATTGGGCGAGAACAGCCACTGCTCCATGGGCAGATGACCTTGGGCCCCAAGTGTTTTGGGTATAAGATCACATAAGGCGGAAATGATCTTGATGGATTTCGGGTTTCCACCATATTTGAACTTTCTAGAGAGATCTCATAATGCAGGAATAATGGATCCTGAGCCAAAAAAATACTGTAGCGTCGTTCCTGGCAACAGTAACGGCCTCAATGAAAAGAGCTATGACGCATAAACACTACGAATAAGTAACAGGAAATTTAGGTAGTTAGTTTAGCACACTTCGTTTCTATCTTCAAAAATCAAGATGTTATCTGTCCCTGCAGTAGGTAAGAAAGAGAAGAGAAGAAAACATGAAGGGGGGAGAGTGGGGAAAGGGAAGGGAAGGGGGGTGCGCAGAAGCGGTGGGCCAAAGGAGAGATTTCGGGGAGGGGGGAATCAGGTGACTGGGCGCTCTGCACTAGGACCACATGATATAGACTACCTAATGCTAGTTAGTAGTTGTAGACGGAGTACCTAGTGCTCACTACAGGTAATTACCTCAGGTAGTGTACTCCGGAGTAAGTTAGTGAACTGGAAACTGGTAGTAGTTAGGTACGGAGTAATCTGGGTAGATGTCTAGCTGAGTCCGGACCATCGATGTCATGACCCAAGGAATCTTTTTGTACACACTATGTAAGTACTCCGTACTCAGCAAGTAACCATGGGGCGTAGTGAACTCTTGAAGTGCCAGTGACAGGTTGAGCAGGCTACTACTACCTTAGTAGGCTTGGTCTACACTGTCTTTTACCATCACCTGCTGTTATTGGTTTGCTCCATGTCAAGTGACCATCCGTGATTTTCACCCTAGTACTTTGTTGATTGGTGGTTCCAGCGGACTCAGCCTCTTCAATCTCAGTTCATGGAGAGAGGTAAATTTCAGGGTACAGGTACGAAGTAATGGCTTACTGTAAGCTGTAATAAATGCATGTATTGATGCAGGTCACATGGGTACTAGATGTGTTAGTATACAATACTGTACATTAACTATGTACTATATGCATGGGTTTTAATCGTACGTGCTTTGCCCCTTCCCCAATCCCCTTCCTCCCCACAATTCCACAGGCTACAGCACCCTTTTCATGCTCGAGTGCAATTTAGATTATGGCGCTGCCTTTTGCTATCCACAACCTATGCCACCTCCTCCGTCTCTATCTAGTGGTATAATGATAAAATATATACAGCTTGTAATCCAGAGAAGTGGATCTTATAGACTGACTCGCCTCTTTTGCCAAGAGCACGTTGCTATTTGGAGCATGGCCGACTTGAATCTTTTCCCCACAAGAACTGAAAGGGAATTGATCTCAGGAGGATATGGAGCTTATGGCTGCCGTCTCAATTGTGGCAGAGACCAAGAATGCTAGAGATGGTTGTGAGAGTCGGTATTCATACATTAGTATAGATTTAAGCTAACTCTAGAGTGTTCAATATGATGCCTTGACTTCCTTAAGAAAGACAGGTAGTTTATACCAGTGATCCCTTGGCTCTCGCTGATATAGACGTTCGCAAAGACTCTTCGGCGCGCCAAAACCAGCAGTCAGTAGCCTACTCATCATCCTGTTAGTTTGCAATGCAGTGGAACATATACATAGTACGATTGAATTGTGGGTTTCTGATCAGTGAGCATATTTTAGACAGCTAGCTAATTTTGGCATTCTGTAGGCATTATGCGAGACAATGTTATCCAGGACTGATAGAATAACTTTTGAATAGATGACGTGGGTAGGCGGATTCTATGAACAGGTTGTAACTAGTAGTACTTGGTAGTAGCTAGTCGGAATAACAAGCAAATCCATTCCAGCCCGCACTTGCATAGCTGCTCAAATCAAGTATACTCTCAACTACAGTATTGTACATGAAATAGAAGATTGCCGATGACACTAACGATTATTAATCGTTTGAGAACTTGCCAAGATGGGAGCAGCTATGTACGCAGCTGGTGTCTCAATATCACAAACAACAGGCTCTTTTCATTCAGTCAGGAAAATACCTGGAATTGTTCCCTCAAACCCAGGCTTCACGATGGTACTGTGCAGTAGCATTACTGAAGTATTATCTGGCTATCCTCTCAAGACATACAGCTCCATCGGAAGGTTATCTGATGAAAAGATGCAGTACGAGCAATCATGGCACAGCTCTTTGTGGACGGTGGATACTATGTTTCTACTACATAGGGCTAACAGTTCAGCTATCTTCTCGGAGCATAACCACGTGTACAGTAGGGCATTTTGTCAAGACTTGACCACCAAGCGCAGACTGAGACTAGAACCAAAGCTTTGCCTTTACCTCCGCTGTTACAGGGTTCATTCTCATTTGTGAATTGAAGTTACGGAATTAGTTTTTCTCCTTTCACCTATTTAATCAGCCCAAAGGATCTCGACTTGAAGATGTTTTCCCAACTCTGCCCGCTGCTGGAGGCAGTAGCCCACCTGGCAATGCTCTCCCAGACCAATCCTGGGTGATCTTGAGATGTCGGGCGTGCGTCTAGACGCAATACCTACAGTGATCACTGACCAGGGCGGGGGGGTTTATTGCACCTTCAGGTGACTTCTGCTGATTATCACTGCAGTAGACCCGAATTGCGCCAGTGCTGTCTGTCTACGGCCGATCATTGGCAACTGCTCTGTATGCCGTGACTTACTGACTACTGCGCATTTTTAAGTTAGCCCACAGCACAATGTGCTAGTCCAACACAGTAATTCTTGGGCTTAGGATTTACCATGTCAAGATCCTGAATCTTGTGGTAATGGACCCGAAAGGTTTTCTTTCTTGAGATTCTCTCATTCACAAGGATGGGAGAGAAGAGGGTAAATAGCACACACTTATATAAATTACTGAGTACTGGGTACAGTATAAAGGAGCTGTAAGATGATGTCACAGTGGGGAAGAGAGGGGAGGCGCCGTTTACAAGTGATAAGTTACTCGAGTATCACTTTTTTCAACCATTGTTTTACCAGATCCAATCTTCTTTCCCGCCCCTCGGGTTCAATGTGGGACCAGGATTCCGCCACACTCAATCTCATGATATTTAGCTTGGATGTAGCTTTAGATGTCATTGCGGAGCGAGAGTCAATTCTCAGATTCCAAGCAGGACATGATGTTGTCGCATGGACTCTACAAACCGTGACTTGTAGAGTGATAATCGGGTACGTTGTTTGAAATCACGAGCCCTACATTGGATGTTGGGGTATGGGCTAATCTTACCCTACCATGGAAGGGCATAGTCCAAGTGGATGTACTATTAGTAGTTAGATTGAAGCAGTGATCCGCCCCGCCGCCCCAAGGGGAGTGAATAACTTCGATACCTTTCCCCGAATTTTCCTTCCAGGCTAGACTAGATGGCTCTCAATTGAACTTCGGGTCCATGCACTTGGTCATAACAACATGTCACGATTACTTCTCTTCCCAAACAATAAGTGATGTGTGAAAGTTGACATCTCGGAACTTTCTCCAAATGTCACGCTTCTTAGGAGGCTTATTATGCCCCATCACACAAGTCCTTTTTTCTTCGGCGAGCCGAACTATTGGGGGTGGGGATTATTGGAACTAGTCTACGTAGTAGTAAGTTAGTTTCCTTAGCCTACTTAGTATCAGTGAGTACAAAATAGTAACGTATGACTTTGTGTGATCAGAATTTGAGACCGGTTACAGAGCACTCGTACTTCTGGTTGGGAATGACTCGGTGGCGCCGCAGAAGAAGTCATGAATCTCGTTGTGCTGAGTTTGAGGCCTGTAGCAAGTACTTTACCTTACGGTAGTTGGAACTCATGGGTTACTAGATACCTTGGTTCAGGCTAAAACAATCCCAGCAAAGGCCCTATCAAGTGCTGCTAAACAGAGTTCCTCCACTAGCATAATACGTATCCGGTCTCAATCATTACGAAAACTGTACTATACGTATCTCGGCGCTGCTTTCTTCAAAAACCTATTCTGAGCTGATACAGATTGCTGATACCCTTCACAATCATCATATGTACGCAGGACTCCAGTGCTTCAGCCCCGAATGTACAGAATTACTTTACGTCTTATTCTCCCATCCTCGTCACAACCAATATCAGGGAGTTGACCTTAAACTCACTTGCATGCCAGCGTACAGGCCATCCCATCCATGTTATAAATTTCTCATTATGCAATATCGATCATGTGCTGTCGATTGATGTCTTTGAATGAACTTCTCTGAGGAGATCTTCTACGGTATATATATTCCCTTGCCCACCCTATCCTTCTCACCACACGAAATCCACATGAAGGGGACAGTGTGAGGAATTGGCATGACTGCACTTGTTCCTGTGCTGCCATCAAGGCCAGAGGTTCTGGGTTAAATAAGCGTCCGCATTCATTTTACATTGTCTCCTACATTGTCTCATCTATGATGCCTCAGGTAACAGCAACCAATCCAACAGGTGATGCTTCCATGGACACCCAGCAGGTCTGTTCGTCTGCCGGGGTAGCCACTGAGAAAAGGTAAGAAAACAGAAAGATGAGAAAAACCATGGGACCGAAATCATAAACAGAATAGATATCAGCGGCGGCTGAATCAAGAAAGCATCTATACAAAATTGGTCCCGTACGTCAAAGCGACTGCAGTAAACCGCGTTCAAGGGGATTAACCGTAGATAACACATCACCTTCCGAACATACACATGGAGAGAGAAGAGCTACTAAAACAGATACTGAAGAATATATGAGCCAGGGGCAGGCCGAATGCGAGAGCTCCTAGCTCCCACGCCCGAGTGGGAGTCATTAGCCCCAGCTACGTTCTAAGGCGTGCTTAGAAAGGAGGAGGGATCATGCCCTGGGCCTCAACTTTCTCTTGCTGCTCCATCAATTCCTCGCCAGCGATCTCGAGGGAAACAGCAAGACCGAGCTTGGCCGTTTGCTAATGGAGAGACAAGCATTAGTGTGAGAGTTTCAACGCAAGTTGTATTTGGTAAGTGCGACTCACCTTGGCCTGATCAATCTCGCCGGCGAAAGTAAGAGCAATAGGCATGGCTATCCGCTTCTCGAGAAGGCAGCTGACCTTTCCGGCACTGTCGACCTGAGCACGGAACGTAGAAGCGCGGAAGTCATACTTAGCACCGATGGCAGTAGTGCCATCACGGCTAGGACCACCCATCAGCGCAGCAGCCGCGTTAGGAGCGAACTGCAGGTTCATATCGACACCAGCCTCAACGCGCTCAGAAAGCTTCTTCCAGTAAGAGGCAGTGAGGACACCCTGAGCCTGAAGTTGTGCGCTGGCAATCCAGTCGTTGGCCTTGTACCGGGCACTATACGACAGGGCACTTTCCGGACGAGTGTTCATACCCTGGCGCTGCCAGATTGCTTCAAAACCAAGTGCTAGACTGGGCGTAACGGATTGGAGATAGCTGCCAACGAAGATTCCAGTGAGGCCTCCATCCAAGAGAGATGGGTTGAAAGCTTTGAGAGAAGCGGAGAAATCATCACCGGTGTAGTCCTGGTCGACCTGAATGAGGGCCTGGCTGGAACCAGCCATAATCTGAGTGTTGGTCTTGGTGACCAACTTGGGAGTCCAGCGGTAGTTGGCGACAGCAGCGAGTCCACCATCGCTTCCGATATTACCTTGCATAAAGACCTGTGTGAATCAGCAACGAGGACCGTTAGCATGAGGTAACATACTTCATAAAGTGTAGCGAGGGTGTCTTAAAGCAAAGAAAGGTTTACCTTCGGACTTCCATACATAGCGGAGAAGTTGTACGGAGGCAGGTTCCCAGACGAGCCCATCGAGAACGCATGCGATACACGGAACAAGGGAGACATCCCGAAGACCTTGGTCAAATCGGCACGAAGGCCCGTGAACATGAAGTTTGACAGCAAAACATCCTTTTGCACCTCCCGGGCGATGTTTTCCACAGTTCCGGGGTTGGAGAGACCGAGGGCAGCCCTGCGCTCGGAGAACGAGGAGTATGCATCCTTGAGGGCTGCGGCAACGGAATTGTCCGTCAAAAACGATGGAGGAGTCAAATAATCGGACATTGTGAAGTATTGCAAAGGAAAAACAAGGTCGGTAAGCTCGAGTGGAAGAAAGCGGACGTTGGAACGTGACGCGGCCGTCCTTGTGATGGAAAGATGGGGAAGGACAAGGCTAGGAAAGATGAGTTCTTGACACCAGCCCTAAAAAGAAGACCGAAGGGATCCTAAAGCAACCGCGGCAGTTGCAAAGTCAGGTATCGAGAAAAGTACCTGACCTGCTCGGGGAGGTAGGGGGAGGAGGTAAGGAAGAAGAAGAGGAGGAGGAGGGAATGTCAAACACCGAGGTAGAATTGGTGGTGAGGTTCAGTTGATGGACGATTGAAGCCCAGAGCTTTCGGGACTGAAAAAAGTCGCTCACCTTCGCTTTTCCGCCCGGGCTGCGGCTAAGGTATCTGCGGTTCGCCGGAGCCAGACTTAAGAACCAGTCTCGGATTCTCGGACTTTCAGTTCTGCCGCAATGACCTAATCAACCTAGTTACTCATGCACCTAACTAGTAGTTACGTAGTAAGGCCCGGGTAAGCCTGAGTGCCATCGTTAGCCAACCGACCAACCGACCAACCTTGAACTGGAACCTTAGTTGACTACTGCATTATTGAGTTGACTAACTAGTTAAGGCAGTTGAATTAGTCACCATTTACACATGCATCCCGACATTCTATCTTATTCAGTTCTTGTACAGTATAGTACAGGAAGTATCGTTTTATCTTTTATATTGTCTTCAAACTATCATTCACAGCCTTCATCAGCCTTAATTCCCCCTATCCTGTCACGATCATTATGTCCCAATGATAGAATCGCTTCATTGGGTGTGGTTTTCTTGACTTCAAGTATCTGGTAATTATCGTCTACTTACTCGAGGTATGTACAGCTGAGTACTGTACCTACGTACTAGAGACACAGTCCGCTGGTTGGGCCGAGCTCGTGCTGCTCCATCTCCTCTAATCTCGAATGCCGACTGCTGGAACCTGCCTGCCTTCCTTTGACTTCAGCTTTCACCCTCCATAACCTTTTCTTATTTATCCCACCAGTTCTTCTTCAACATCGGCATAGAAATTGTTTGTTGTCGTGCTGTTCATTATCAGTGTCGAAAAACCCATACTTCTCCCTTAAAACCATGGACACATTACTGTAAGCCCCCTTCTCCCCGCCATCTCGTGCCATTCTCCGATCTATTATGAGTCTGGCTCCTGCGCACTCGCCTGTGCCTACCCATACCGCTTACACTTTATGCGACGTGGATAGTCCCACAGCAACCAAAATTGGTTGTAGATGCTACCTGGTTCTCTAACATGGATTAGAACTGCTGACATTATCGCCAATTCCCCGCGTTTCCGACGGAAGTCTTCTACCTTCGTCGATGCGATCCATGACTTACCCGAGAAGGCCGATCTGGCTCCGGCCCAGCTCTACAGCACCGAGTCAGGACGGCTTTTCCACTCCGGCCGAATCGTCATCATCACCGTGGGGTTACCGGCGAGGGGTAAAACGTTCGTCATACCTAAGCCACTCGTATATTTCCTTTGGCTCGCTGACGCTTGATCAGACATATGTCTGTAGCTCTAGCGCGATATCTACGATGGTAGGTCATGTCTTTCACGGGAGATTCGTTGAGACTAGCGCTTAAGAGATCCCAGGCTAGGCGTGAAAACCAGAATATTTCATCTAGGAGATTATAGACGTGCAACCATTCCCTTTGGCCAGGATATTCCAGACGACTACTTCTTCGTGAACGGTAAGCACCAAGTTGCAGTTCTTGCATCTTTCCTCAAAGTACTCATTCCCCACAGCATCCGCTTCATCGGTCCTCTTAAGACAAAAGATTGTCAAACGGTGCCGGGAAGATATTTATCAGTTTCTGAACCATGAAAATGGACAAATAGCCATTTACGACGCCGTCAATCCATTGGCATCTGGTCGGCGATCACTCGCAAAAGAATTCGCTAAGCATGACATTGAGGTGAGTTGTCTGGGATGTGTGCTTTGGGTCTCCGGTTATTTTGACCCCTTTCCCCATTAGACACTATTTATCGAGTCGTGGTGTGACGACGAGCGCATAATCGAAGAAAACGTCCGAAGGGTCAAAATATCCTCACCCGATGTAAGTACTTTTCGAACTTTTGGCACGAGATCCTAATTTCTGTATAGTATGTGGGCTGGAGCTCGGAAGATGCTGTGAAACATTACTTGACTCGGATAGCCGCTCGTATTCCTCAATTTCAGTCAATGGAGGAGACGGATCTGAACTATATCAAGGTACTTTCGGTAGCCCTTCTGAAGCCATCTGCTCTTGCTAATCACAAATAGATGATGAATGCTGGGGAAAGGTTAATTGTGAACAATCGAAGCTTCGGCTATCTTTCCAACAGAATAGTGTTCTATCTCCTCAATCTTCACATCAAATCCAGACACACGTACTTTGCACGGGTAAGTCTGGAGGATTGTATCTGTTTTATATATTTCAAAGGCTGATAATCACCAGGCTGGCGTATCACTGGAAGCGGATTCTTATAAGGCAGATGCCTCGCTGTCTGAGCAGGGCGAAGACTACGCGAAGAAGATGACGGAGTCCTTGCTGAGGCACAGGGAGTCTGAAAGACAAGCAATGATCGACGAGGGAGAACCGAGTTACGAGTTAAAACCACTTACTGTCTGGACCTCCACACGAAGAAGGACGGTTGAGACGGCTAAGTATCTTCATGAAAGAGGATACAAAGTGCGACAGAGATCTCAGATGAGCCAATTAAACCCGGGAGTTTGCGAGAAGATGTCAGAGGCGAAGATCCGTCAGGAGTATCCGGAAGAGGTTGCAAAACACGAACTTGACCCCTACCATCATCGGTATCCGCGGGCGGAGGTGAATCGCCCTGCTATCTCCTCAAAAAGTATTATCATAGTAGCTGACAGCAATGACAGTCATATCATGACCTTGCAGTTCGACTCGAACCTATCATTCTAGAGCTCGAGCGTGAACAAAACGATTTGCTGATTATCGCACATGAAAGTGTGCTGAGAGTCTTATACGGGTACCTGATGGCCTGCAATGCTGCGGATATCCCATTCTTGGATTTCCCTCGCGATGAGATTATTGAAGTAAGCCCAATGAGAAGCCTTTGACGTTCATTTGAGATGAATGTCCATCTGACCGGTCCTTCTAGATCATACCCGAAAGCTATCAAAACGAAGCACGCAGGATCCATATCTCTGGCCTTCCCAGAGAAATCGTCCCCGGTTCTCCTCAGGACATCAAGATCCCTGTGCCCCCCAGCGGAGTAACAACCCCTTTGGCTGCTGATCTTGGCAGCCCGCGCGAGGGTCTCTCGACTCCACAGAGCGGTCTCCGAACCCCGCGCGAACCGGAAAGAATCTCACAGCAGCATGTTGAAGACGTTGTTTAGTATATACATTGGTTATCATGCACATGGTAACATGGGCATTGTTGGTGTCGGGCAGATCCTCATATATCGAAGCGTTAGCGAAAGTGATCGGCACTAGCCGCCGTGGAGCGTAGAAACAAAGACGATATTATCGCCTGATTGAAGCTCATAAGTTTCCTCCCCTTCGAGCTCCCAGTCGGCATCGTTGATCAAGACTAGGATTCCGGGGCGCCTAGTAGAATATACATGTATACGGTCAGTCAGCGTTGCTCTCATGCCGGTCCTCGGACAGACGTACACATTATCTTCCAGTATGAACAATTCCTTTCGTTGATCTTTCATGAGGTTTTCGACCAAGTATGCAAGAAGGTAGGACACATTTGGTCGGGTGCCATCGCTGAGCCGAGAAGGAAGGGTGATGATGTGCTTGCGCTCGTTGGCGAACAAGATTTCTAGGCCCCCGCTATAAAGTAAAGCAAAGCAGTCAGTGAATCATGCTCGGGTCAGCTCTGCAGTTATGTAGAGAAAAGGGGGAAACTCAACGTGAACTCAACCGTAAGTGAAAGGGATGTGGAATCTGAAGAACTTGCTTCCATGGTTGGAAGGAAAGGATAGATCGGTAGATTTGATAGATAGGTGGGATACTCGGAGTGAGTTTTGACCGTGATCTTAGAAGATTTCACCGAGTAAGAGGCAAGAAGACGAAAAGGACGCTTCTGGTGTCCGGTCGAAGGGTACGACGGTACTCCGTACTTAGTTGTTAGTCTTATCGATAAGCTTCCCCCAGCACAAAAAGTCAGTCGATTTGCGACGAACCGCCTGCCTGCCTGCCCCCCCGCTTCTCTTACCTGTTCGTCCGTGCATCTGAGATTGATGCAGTTCTGACATCAAGCGGTTCTTCATTACCTCCTTTCCAGACCTGTTGCGCTCCGATTTCACCAGCTCAATGGTCTCTGTCACCACTGAGTACATTAGCGTTGGGGGCAATAGGCATCCCGCCGCCGCCGATTGGGACGTCCGGACTGGCGTGCTTGCCTTCGGTGCCGATAACAATGTAGCACTATGGAACCCAGATGTGTGTGCTCATTCATCAATAGCTTCCCTTTCGTTCATTGCCTGACCCAAATACAGGATAGTACGCAGCGCGGAGTCTATTCACTCCTTGTCGGTCACACCGACAAGGTCAGCGCCGTTCGATTCTACACCTGCCCTATTACAGATACTAAATACCTTTTGACCGGGTCGGTCGACCATACAATCCGTCTATGGCGAGTGCACTCAGCCGACTCGCGTCAATTCGTGCACGTGCATACCCTGGAAGGCCATACTGGTTCAATCAATACCATCGCCGTGGCTGATGGGCACGACATCGTGGCAACGGGAGCCGCTGATGGAACCGTCAAAGTATGGAAGATTCATGCTCAGAGCGAAGCGAAGGGCGAGCTGCTCAAGTCAATATCCATGAAGCCACGGTTCTTTCCACTGGCCTTGGCATTGAGCCCTCTTCAATCGGAGTCGGATACCAGACCCGTCGCCTTAGCGGTTGCAGGCACCACCAATGCCGTGCAAATCTACGTGGCGGAGAATACCCTTACGGCTCTTGAATTCAAGCTCTCGGCTGTGTTGTCTGGACATGAGGCTTGGGTACGGTCCTTGAATTTCACGTTAGACAAGCAGAGCGCAGCCGGTGACATTCTGCTGGCCTCGGCGAGTCAAGACAAATATGTCCGACTTTGGAGACTGCAGCGTGGGGAAGCTACTTCTACTGCCCCGGCCGATTACGGTGACCCCATGATAGGTGGCGTTGAGACAACTCTTTCGAACAAAGCCCACCAATTCGAGGTAACCGGGATGGAATTCTGTGTCACCTTTGAAGCGCTACTTTTCGGAAATGAGGACTGGATCTACACCGCCAACTGGAATCCCAATCCAGAGCGCCAGCAGCTCCTTACTTCCTCGGCCGATAACACACTAACCATTTGGGAGCAAGATCCTGCTTCCGGGGTGTGGCTCTCCGCCGAGAGGATGGGAGAGATTAGCGTCCAGAAAGGCTCAACAACCGCTACTGGCAGTACGGGTGGGTTTTGGATTGGCCTCTGGTCTCCAGATGGCACACAGGTTGTCAGCCTCGGTCGTACCGGTAGTTGGCGAGCATGGAAATATGATGCAGCATCTGACTTGTGGGTGCAATCTCTTGGGATTTCTGGACATGTACGGTCGGTCAATGGCGTGCAATGGGAGCCTTCTGGCGAATACCTCCTGTCGACTAGCGCCGACCAAACCACGCGCCTTCATGCCAAATGGGAGCGCGAAGGACTTCAGTCTTGGCATGAGTTCTCCCGTCCTCAAATACATGGGTACGACTTGAACTGTATCGATACTCTAGGACCGGCTAGATTTGTGTCTGGCGCAGACGAGAAGCTGTTGCGGGTTTTCAACGAGCCTCGACCAATTGCGATACTACTGGAGAGGCTTTCCGGTTTCAAGCAATCCGAGGAGGTTCAACTGCCTGACACAGCCGAGATCCCTGTGCTGGGTTTGTCAAACCAAGCTCCGGCTGACGATGCCCCCGGAGGAGAGGAGGAAACAGATAACGCATATATGGAAAAGACACAGGCTATCTCAACGGCACTCCTAGAGTCGAATCAACCGCCATTTGAGGATCAACTGGCTCGTCACACCCTATGGCCCGAGCATGAGAAGTTATATGGCCACGGCTATGAAATTTCTGCCGTAGCCGTTAGCCACGACCGCACGCTTATTGCCACAGCCTGCAAAGCGAGCTCGATTGACCATGCGGTGGTTCGTTTATATGACACTTCCGACTGGCATGAGATCCGGCCCTCCCTTGCCGCTCATACCTTGACCATCACAAGTCTCTGTTTCTCTAGTGATGACCAGCATCTTCTCAGCGTTGGTCGTGACAGACAATGGGCTGTGTATCAGCGCAGCGAGCAAGACCCCTCAACCTTCTCAATCCTGACGAACAATCCCAAGGGTCATTCACGTATGATTCTCGATGCCGCATGGGCTCCGATATCTCAGACTCCTATCTTCGCGACTGCTGGCCGCGACAAGTCAGTGAAGGTCTGGCAAATGCATGACGGTGCATGCGAATGCAAGGCGACAATCCCCTTGAAAACTCCCGTAACTGCCATCTCATTCCTCTCGAGTATAGAGAAGAATTCGTTCATTCTCGCCGCGGGCGAAGAGAGCGGGGAGCTGTCTATCCACCGTATTGCCATCGGCAGTCTGCAAATTAGTCACCTGGCAAGCGTTGACAAGTTCAAATCGCCGTCCAAGGCCATTACCCAACTTTCCTGGCGGCCGGGCCAGAAGGAAGCGGCGCCACATTTCGTGCTTGCTGTGGCAAGTGAAGATACCTCGCTGCGCATATATGATTTCTCGGATTTGGTTTCATGAACGGAAGATTGGTATATCCAGGTCCACGTAGTATATCCGCAGTAGGAGACAATGATGAAAGCCAACAAAGAGAACATGAAGTAAATGCCATTCATTAGATCGTCTGCATGTTGAAAAACGCCCGGAGGAGTGGGTTGAATTAATCCGCTTGTTCTAGATATCTTGAAATTGAAAGTTACCATGTATCGGCCATGATGGTTGAATTGTGCACGCCCATGGAAACAGGGCAGGGCCAAGGTAGAGAGTGCAAACACTAGAAAAGAAAGAGAAGATGAGAAGTGGAATACATCACGGTCGCTTTTCAAGCCCATAACCACCCAAGCCATCTAGTGACGGGTAGGTTTTGGCCTGGCCCTGATATCCATTTCGGGGACCTCTGTGTCGAAGATCCTCCGTAAGCCATTTGAGCACCAGCTCGCCAAGCTGAGTATTCTGGGACGACTCTTTGACCTCATCACGGAACTTCTCGATAGGACCCCATTGGCGGACGGTGCCTAGATGCATGTGGACCAGATGCGTGGGCCACAGGGACAAATTGTCCAAAATGTGCGTGGCATACACGATGGAGCAGGGTCTGGATTCTGTTTCGCGCTTTAAAAACCCCAGGAAATTGGCCCGGGAGAGGAGGTCCAGATCGACGGTGATTTCATCAAGCAGGAGAACCCGCCAGGGACGGAGCAAGCCCATCGCAAGCTGCACGCGGCGACGCTCTCCATCCGACACGGCGTGCATGCGCCACCGGAGATCGATGTCGAGTATCTCGACCAGCTCGTCCCGACGTTCTGGGAAGGCGTTGCCGCCGACAGATGCAAGTAGAGTGGGCACGTCGATGTCGGTCCGGACAATGTTGTTCAGGACCCATTCCATGCCGAGATAAGTGACGCCTTCCAAACCATCTTTGAATGGGTCTTTGCCGGCCACGGTAATGGTGTCCGTTGGAGCCAGACGCTTTCCGGACAGGAGGCGTAGGAGCGTGGTCTTACCGGCACCGTTGGCTAGGAAGATGTTAATCTCCCAGAAGATGATTATGGTCACTTTACCCCGCAGCGAGCTTACCTCCAATGAGTAGAGTACGACTACCGGACGGTACGTTCAAATTGATATCCGTCAAGCCTGATGATCCATCGGGAAACTTGAAAGACAGGTTTCTCACCTCGATTGAGGGGAGATGGAGATCGGAGTCAGCCATGGAAGAGGAAAAAGATATATTGGTCGGTATATATGGATAACCCTTTGGTCCTTTCCACAGAGTCAAGGAATTTATTTGAGGAATTGAAGTCAATTGATAGAAAGCTGGGAAATCGGCGGGACAAGCAGATCAGGCAGGGCCGCAAGAGGGGGAGGGTACGAGCGATAAAAGATAAGATCCTAATCCTTGATGAGGTAAGAAACCCGAGGGTGCGATTTTCTCCCTTGGATTCTTTCCCCGCAATATTTTGTGTTTCTGGGAGACGGCACCCAGCACCCACAGCCTTATCTTCTCTGATGTCGGGTATAATTTTCCAGGCCGAAATGCTAAGTGTGCTCTGGTTCTGTACCTCATGCGACATCTTTTCCGGCAACTGTTCTCTATTTTTCACTTGTCTCCACCAGTCATGAAACCTCTCATCGCTGTCGTCGGAGCGACAGGTACTGGCAAGTCGAAGGTAAGCAAGAATCGAGAATCAGTAGAAGAGAATTAAATAGCAAGAAGGCTATACATATAGTCAGGACTCACTTACTAACGGCTACAGATAGCTTGCAGTTGACCTGGCCTCGCGCTTCAATGGCGAAATCATCAATGGTGATGCAATGCAAATGTACCGCGGCCTCCCGATCATCACCAATCAAATCCCTCCCGAGGAACGTAACGGTATCCCGCATCATTTACTTAGCTGTGTCGAAATAGAGGAAGAGCCATGGTGGATCGGTCGATTCAAACAGGACAGTCTTCGGCTGATTGACGAGATCCACGCCAAGGGGAAACTTCCGATTCTAGTCGGAGGCACACATTACTACACACAAGCCGTGCTCTTCAATGACCAACTGGTTGATGCAGATCAAGATTCCAGTGATGATGATCCAGTTCTCCGGGATGACAACAGTGACCAGAACTCACCGACCAAATGGCCGGTTCTCGACGCTACTCCAGAAGTGATGTTGCAGAAACTCAAAGAAGTCGACCCGGTCATGGCGGCCAGATGGCACCCAAATGATGCCCGCAAAATCCGGCGCTCTTTGGAGATCTACTTTCAAACTGGGCGCCCTGCCTCTGAAGTCTACGCAGAACAACAGCGGCTGAAACAGGCTGACATGGCGCGCAACAGCCTTTCTCTTGGCGTGGGCCGTTTGCGATACCCGACAATGATTTTCTGGGTGCACTCGGAGAAGGAGACACTCAATTCCCGATTAGAAAAGCGTGTGGACTCGATGGTAGACCAAGGGCTCATGGAGGAAGCTAGACGCATGTTTGATTTTTCTCTGGAGAAGAAAAAGCAGGGCGATCCGGTCGATCACACGCGAGGTGTGTGGGTTTCCATTGGCTACAAGGAGCTGGCGCCGTACTTCGATGCCCTCTATAAGGGCTCCATGAGCGAGTTGGACTTGGAGGCCTTGAAAAGAGCCTGCGTCGGGTCCATCAAGTCTGCAACGCGACAATACGCCGTGTCACAAATCAAATGGATACGAAATAAGCTATGGAAAGCTATTGCCGATGCAGGCGCGACTGATCATCTCTACCTTTTGGATAGCACGAACGTCGAGGCATGGAAGGAGACTATAACACAGCCATCAGAGGAATTGGTACGAGCTCTGCTGAATGGTGAATCCACTCCCGATCCCAAGTCACTATCAGAGCTTGCTAGAACCGTCCTAGGTGCAAAAGAGGCGCAACCGCAGAGAGATTCCATCGCCTATATGAAATGTATAACGTGCAATGTCTGCAAGAAGACAATGCAAGGCAGTGAGCAATGGGATATTCACATCAATGGGAATGTACATAAGAGAGCTCTCAAGAGTGCTGCCAAGAAGGCTGCACGTGATGCGTACCTCCGGAAACGGCAGGATAGCCTCACCTCAGATGTCCGGCCAGACATTGGCAGTGAAGCCGCGATCAAAGAAGACGCGGGGTAAATGCCACTATCAATGGTTGCTGTACGATTTCTACTCTTGCGCGCTGAGGGTACATAAGACACTCTCGGTGTTTAGCTGTGATACAGAATCGTTGCTGTGCTGTATATCAGTGAACGAGATCACAGACCGAGAATCAGAAGACATTTTCAATATGTAACCACCAGACTAGATATTCTAAGGACAGACACTTCTCATCCCGAGGGTTCAGAGTGAAAGAAGGTTAGCCACAGGAACAGATCTAGCTGGGACATATGTGTCTTCGAATGTAGGACATCGGGTAAGCCGCGGCGGACTACAATTCACCACGGAATTGATCACGTCAGCCCTCTGACCAGGAACATAATTGCGCAGGCGCCTCCTTGTGCCAAGGACATTTGTCACTGGGGGATGCACATATCTCGCAATGCGAATTTTTGGACCAAGAATCGACATCAGATGAGAGCCAATGGCGACCGTTCATAATTCCGGCTTCTCATTCATCAAGCCTCTGAACAAACCGCTATAGATAACCAGGCTTTAACAAGCCTGAGTCTCTCATATTGTGGTCCTCCAAGCTGAAAAGGCCGGAGAGATGATGTCGCCGGTCCCACTATCCTCCACTTTGAAGACCTCGATGACTGAGGATCTCTCACGTTTGACTATCCTCCACGTCCCTTCCTCCTGAATGGTAGATTTAAGCCCTGGTTTCGTTAGCTCTAAATCTTGCGGTTACAGTGTTTAATGACCGCATGAGGATTGGGTGGGCCTTTTCCTACATTGCAGAAATTCAGCAGTAAAATTGATGCATATATTTCCGTCCCAGGTCGCTCGCCCCACCTTCTTGACCTTGCCTGGTATGCTGGCGGTGTCCAATTCCTCAAGACGGTGGACAATTCCTTGCTGGTCTCGAAACCCAACAATAATTCGAGGCACACCAAGAAGGAATGATTGGGCCCAGAACTTGAGAAGCTTCCTTTCGTATTTGACCATGTCCCGGTCATTCCTGATCTCGGCCGAGGTTTTCAGTTCTACCCAGTTGATCGGGTCCTCCTTCCGGTCCGGTTTGCGGTCCCATACTTCACACACGTGGTTATTTCATGTCAGGTATCAGTTATCTGATAGACCCATTGCATTCACTTACTAGCATCCACTTCGCCCCCAATGACAAGTTTGGTGCGACCTATCGCAGTCCGCACCACGGAGCAATACTGGGCCTTGTTGTTTACAACAAGCTCTTCTCGACCTTCAATCTCCTGACGAGGAGTTGGATCCCATGGTTGGTTGAGTAACGATATTGTTTCAAATTTGTAGCCTACATCAATCAGCGTCAATTTGGCGAATGATCACCCGAAGAGCCCCGACAGCATTCGGACTCGGCCGTGGAAGACAACTATACCCCAGTATGCCATTAGCTCTTGAGAAGCCATACCAGGAGGCATTCTCTGATTCTTCTGGATCCGCTTCTGCTCATTTTTGTAGCTGTTGTTCTCTTCAATGAAGCTAGAAAGCATTAGGACCCGCACATAGCCGACTGGAGCATACGCACATAGTTCCCTAACAAGGTTGTCAACGACTTAGCATAGTTAAAGCTGAAGATCAATAGCAGCTTACTTGGTACAAGGTCGCGTTCATCTCAAACCTGTAACGGGGTTAGGCTATCGATGATGTTAGAGCTTCACCGAACGTGCGAGACGTACCCGTTCATATTGTCAAAAGGAGCCGTCAGTATCTATGCCTCCAGTGGTACATTAGCACCGAGCCTTTGGCAAAGCAGTATCGCCCACAGTCGTTAGATGTCATACCGACCTTGGTCATCATTCCTCTCCAAGTGATGATATCAGCTTCGCATTTGTTTTCCGTATCCTGTTCTAGAGCCATGATGGTATCGAGCAATGCATCGAGATGCTCGTCGGCGGAATCATCTAGCTTCTGGAAGGATTCGAACCCCCGGTTCAGATCTGCAGGGAGATGCGGTGTGTAGTAGTATTTTAAGGAGGACTCTCCCAGGTGGAATTCATGATTATCGTCATAGGAAAAACATGAAATCTCCTGGCCATGTTCAATACCAATCTCAAATATTCAAGTCTAGAAAGGGATTGTGGAAGAGGCGTAGGTAGGGGCAGGCAGGTAATAAGTGTAATGTTACTTACCTTAGGACGTCGAATTGCGGCACTAGCTCCATAGAAGCGGCCAATGGGTTGAATATCAAACACTTTCCGATCCATTAGGAGGTTAACTTAATTCTCAAGACGCAAAAGCATCCAGGATCATAGTTGATAAAGTGACAAGGGGGCGTACAGTACAGGGCCCAAGTAAAAACCACGTATAGTACAATATATGTACTGACTGTACGGAGACTCAGTCTGAGTTCGCTCCGCCCGCCCTTCTGGAAGAAGCCAAGCGCGCATTGCTATTCTTGCCGCGCCCCCCCCCC